TGATGTCTCAAATTTTTTATAACTTTATTGAAATTGAATTTAAGGAACATCCTTCTCTAAAACCTTATCAGTTACCACTGTAAGAATATTTTTTTTCTTCAGGTGTGTTCCCCAGTTTTAGCCAGCTGCCCAAATACTTGTTATATGAGTAAAAGCTTGTTTCACCTAATGTACATATTGGATCTAATCTAAGCCTTCTTTGTCTTTTCAGTACATCTGGTTGGTTGTTTATTTATTTTATTTCATTTATTTTGTTCAGCATGCATAAGATAACAGATATAAGTATAAACATGATTATGAATACAGGAAATGGATACAAATCAGTGGGGACAGGAGGGCAGGGAGGGTGGGCACATTGATGCAGTTATGCATGCCCCCTTTACGGACCTCCTAGGAATGGGTTGTGGTGCATGGTTGACAGTTCGAGGTTGAAACTTGAGGATGTAACAATAGAATCAGGTAGAGCATTCCAGGCATTTACCACTCTGTTGCTGAAGTCATATTTTCTGCAGTTGAGTTTGGAGCGGTCTACCTTAAGCTTGTATGCTCGTGTATTGTTGCGGTTAAAGCTGAAGTACTCTTTGACAGGTAAGACATTGTAGCAAATAATTTTGTGTACTACTCTCAGGTCAGACCAAAAGTGGCATAGTTCTAAGTTGTCAAAGCCCAAAATTTCAAGCCTGGTGATAAAAAGTATTCTGTTGTGAGCAGAGGAGTGGAGGACTCTTCTCGTGAAACATCTCTGGACTCGCTTGATTGTATTAATGTCTGATATGCAGTGCGGGTTCCAGACAGATGAGCTGTATTCGAGAACACATCTAGCAAAGGTTTTATATGCCCTAGTTTGTAACACAATATTACTAGAGAAGAAGCTTTGCAAGATTAGATGAATGACTCTTAATGCGTTTTGGCAATGCTATTACAGTGAGTTTTGGCACTTAGATCATTTGAGATGAGTACTCCAAGGTTCTTGACAGAGTGTGGGTCATCCCAGCTTGTATTCGGTGTTCTGATTTTTTTTGACGAATTTCTAACGCAGAGCATTTGTTGGTTGAGATTTGGTGTTGCCAATTGTTTAACCAGTCTGACACCAACAGGTGAAACTCAAAAAATTA